TTTTGTTTACAAAGAAAATTAATGTATTTACTACGATTTATTTTTAATCCGATTTAATTAATAAAACTCTATTATTTCTTTGAACTTATCTTCAATTGTTAAATTAAATAGCTTTATTTATATTGACATATTTTTAATATGTTTTTTAAAATAATTTTTATACTAAGAAAATGTTTATTAATATTCAGAATATTTCACAACTTGTATACCAGAAAAATAACTCAATTAGCATTGAAAATGGCAAAAGAGCAAATAAAACCAAATCATTTTAGTTCACTAATCGCTCTATTCCTCTCTTTCTCTCTGCGTTGGATCACTAAGAGCTCAATTTACCCACAAATAATACGTCACTCAGCAAAATAATAATACAAGAAAAAAATTAACTGAACTGCTGCTTGCCTAATTTCCAACTGAAATATCAACAGAGCTTACGGCAAAACTTGCTGAAAGCTCTTAAGTGCTCTTCAATCACTCTCTCTCTCTCTCGGTCGCTCTCCCATTCCACTTACCTACTATTACTCAGCTGGCAACGGAGAAACTTAACAGCTGCACGTTCGCCGGTCGACTGATTGGAAACATAATCAAAGGCTACCTTTTTATACAGTTACTAACTTTGGCAATACTCAGCACCAAGTTATTAATTGCTGATAAACGTTTTTTTTTTTTTCGATGAGCAATTGTGAAATAAAAATCTTTTATGATTAACGTGAATTGAATGCGTTTATAGCAATCGAAGCTCTGATTATCTTTTCAGCGATGGGGTCTAACACATTTGACTTCATTTCCAGCCCTACTTCACTCTTTCACTTTTGTTTATCTCGCTCTACCAATGCAATGCAATTTGTTGCTCTTTTGCTTATCTAGTTTTCTTTGCTCGCTTCTTATCGGCATGGGCAGACAGCTTTCTGTCTCTTTCGCTCTGTGTGAGATTGAGCGAACTCTTTAGCTGGCCAGCTGCTGAAACGAGCTGCGCGCCTGCTCAAAATACCAGTTGGGGATTTTTTCCCATGTCACTTGTGGCGCTCGCATGCTAGCCAATTTCTAATTGGAATGGGACAAAATGGAGTCGAGCCGCGTAGCCGCGAATATATTTAAAACTTTCTAGTTGTTTACGTGAGGAAAACATTTATGTCTAGATGTCTAAGTAAACAATTTTCCTATATTCTGACATAACCTTGCTTAGGATATTTCGAAAAAGTCTGAAATGCTGAAAGAGAGGCTAGTAACTCAATATATTACAAATTAGTTTTAGTTTATTCACACAATTTCTTGCTTCTTCTTCTTTTTGCAGGCTTTCTAGATTTACCATAATTTTTCCATTCCAATTCTCCCATAGTATTCCCGTAGGTTTCCTAGTAAGCCGGCGAGGGCATGGGCTCACCCGCCAATCCGCTCAGAATATTTCGAGCGGCTATAGTGGCCATGTCGGAGCGAGTGCGATGGGAGGCAGATCCAATGTGGGACAGAAGAACTAAAATAAAAGTGAAGCGGTTGACCTCAAGTTGCATAAAACCATAACTTAAAATGCTTGTACTTAAAGAAGAAGGCCTTGAGCTAACTATACATACATATGATATATATATAAGGGATAAATTGACTTTTTGATATTGTTGAGTTTTAGCAGATCACTAGCGATTGACAGTGGTTCAGGATCGAAAACATCGAGACCAGCGACAAAGATGCGATTCGTACTGAGCGCTTTGTACAGATCAGTCTGATTAACAGGGTTTAAAAAAACAAGAAATCAAAAAGGGATGAACGAAAGACTTTTAATAAAAAATACAAAAAAATAAAAAATAATAATAAATAATCTACTTACTGCCGTTTGCAACGTTGATTAGTACAGCCGTATTCTTCATCTTGTTGAAGGCGTCGGCATTAAAGACGCCCTGTGCGCCAGCTTTGAGTGGTTCTGTGATGACCACGAAATCGCTCTTACCCAGCAGCTCATTGAATCCCACTTGCTAGGCATTGTACACTTGCTCGATATCCTTATGAACCCGACTTAGTGAGGTGTAGAACACCTGACCGATGTGGAAGCCAGACCAACCACCGAATCGTACACCATCCTGGCCCAGCAACAGGTTCACACTATTATTGTCCCACTTACCGCTAAGCCAAGCGAAGGATAATTCATATACATATATATACATTACTCAAGATTCATTTACATTATTCAATAGCTTATCCCAAGTTCCACTCACCTCCTCAAGATCAACAAATTCGGTGCCAGGGGTCATGGTTGAGATGGCCTTTAGCTGGGGTCCTGCCTCATCGAGAACCGTGGCATTGAGGGTCTGATTTACGGCCCACAGGACGCCATGGACTCCGCGGATCTTCACCATGATATCAGCAAGTGTGGGCGGCACACCCACAGGCACCAACTCATATTCCTCCTCCAATAGGTCAATGGCCGCGTCGAGCACCTCCGGGCTCGTGATCAATACTTTGAATGGCCCGCTGCAGCTGCTTTTATCCAGGCCTCCACGAAAGCAAGCATCACATGGTGTTACCAACAGAGCAACAAGAAGGGCCAGCAAAGGTAGAACTATAAATATCGAGGACAGACTGCTCAGAACGAGGTCCAAAAAGCAACTAAGCTGATCCGCTTGTCCACACCGACTTAAGTAGCGGAAACCTTTGGAGAGCAGCGCAGCCCCCTGAAAACCGCCTTTGGATAGATCTGTGTGTGTGTGCTCTTTAGAAAGTGTGCGATAGAGGATTGGAGGGAGAGAGACATTGATGGGGGTGGGAGACGGAGAGAGATCGGAGAGCAGAAAATCAGACAATTTGAAATGCCGAGCAACAGGAATTCGTCACAGGTGAGGGGAATTATTTCGAGCTCGAAAAAACGGCTTATAGATGAAGGAACTATAAAAGTAAGTCCCGAATGATTTAAGTGAGATAGAATTTTAAATAAGAGTGTCATTACTGCTTATCATAAAGAAATAGGAGCTTTGGTTCACTTAAATCTGATAACAAATAAGAAACTTCAAATAAAACTATAAATGTAATACTTTTACCAATTGTTTCATTTTCAATTGATTTTTTATTTGCAAAAAATAAATTTAAAAAAAAAATCTTTGTAAAAATAATAAAAGCATAAATTAAAGTATAAATTAAATATATATTCCATATATATGATACATTTATAATCTTTTTACATTCAATTGTATTTGTTAGTTTACTATTTATACCCTGAACCCATTTTCAATGGGAAATCTTGATCAGGGCGACGAGCTGAGTTGATTTAGCCCTGTCCGTCTGTCCGTATGTCCGTCTGTCCGTATGTTTGAGCGCGTCGATCTCAGAAGATATAAGAGATAAAGACTTGAAATTTTTTTTCCTAGGTCCGTGTATAGCACGCGCATATTGAATTTTGCTTTAAATATCGATAAATTGCCCCGTTATTTTGTTATCGATTAAAAACGTTATTGAAACCCAGTAAAAAATTTATATCTCCTACATCTTTTAAGCTAGAGTCTCCAAATTTAATGTATACTTATATGCATTTTATACAATTTCGGTTTTTGTCAAAATTTACCCCCCACCCCTAATTCACCCCCTCACCCTCACATTTGTAAAAGGCGTATTTCAAATACTAGAGACTTGTGCTTTGGCAAAGACATGCATATCTATGATATAATCATAATCTAAAAGTTTCATGAAGAAAGTACATCCACAAGAAAAGTTATTGAACAATTAAGTTCCCWTAGTAAGCCACCACTGCAGCCAATGCGTGTTTATGCGTGCGTCCGTATCTCTGTGTGTGTAAGCGTGTGTGGGTGGGATATGCCTGTGTGTGTATGCGTGTGTGTGTGTGTGTGTGTGTGTGTGTGCGTGTGTGTGTCTTGTGTAAGCAGAAAGACGCGAAAAATGATTGAAACAGCTATTGCTCGAAGGGTTCAGGGGATCTCGTAGTCGGGCACTCTCGACTAGAGCTTTCTTACTTGTTTTATTTTATTATTATTTGTATCTAATTGAATATTTGTCATGCTGAAATAGCATTGTAAATGTCAAAAGAATAAACAAAATCAAATTATTATCGGTCTCTCTCTATATTTGTAGTGAATCGTTAAAGCAATTGAAGTTCTTACTATCATATCGGCGATCGGCTCTGTGGCACTTCAGTTCACTCCAGCCCTTCGCCAGTCTTTCACTTTTGTTTGTTGCTCTTTTGCTTTTCTTATCGGCATGGGCAGACAGCTTTCTGTCTCTTTCGCTCTGTGTGAGATTGAGCGAACTCTTTAGCTGGCCAGCTGCTGGAGCGAGCTGTGCGCCTGCTCAAAATACCAGTTGGGGATTTTTCCCATGTCACTTGTGGGGCTCGCATGCTAGCCAATTTCCAATTGGAATGGGACCACTATCCCCAGCTTTTAGTGGAGTCGACACGAATCGCATCGCATCGCGTCGCGTCGCTATTGGAACGCCAGATTGTGGAACCTACTCATACAGGCCACCACCACAAACACCACCACAACCACCAGCACCGCATGCACATAGCTTATTTTGTGAGCGGATCTGCTCAAATTTTGTCCGCATCGAAGCAGGCGCACAGAGCTGCATAGCTGCTCTCCAACACGCGCGCCGCACTCTCCAAACCCATCGCTCTGTGTGAAAGCAGCAAAGAAACGGCAGATGGCGTTGGCGTTGGCGTTGCCGCTGACTTTTTCGCTGCCTTCGCCGCTGCCAGCGTTGGCGTTGGCGTCGGTGGTTGTCGTAGTTTTTGCAGTGTTTCTTCGGTGTTTCTGCAGGGCTCTGCCCAAGTGCATGTAATTATACCCTGCACAGCTTACATGGAATAGGGTAGTTAATGCAAACCAATTAAAATGAATTTAGAATATTATCTCGTGTTGATGAAGAAAGCGTAAATTTTATTTAATATATTAAGATAAATTATTAAAATTCAAAA